CTGGAGAAAAATGTAGAACAAAATTCTAACTCACAAAAAAAGACCAGACTTACTGGCCTGACAGAGACTGGAGAAACCCCGAGAGTATGGCCACTGGACACCCTTTTAGCTCAATCCTGAGGTTCACCCTTCAGCCAAAGATTACACAGCCCCATAGAACAAAATGAGACTAATGGGGCACAACAGTCCAGGGACAAGGAGTAGAAGGCAGAAGGGGACAGGAAATTTGGTAATAGGGAACCCAAGGTTGAGAATGGACAGTGTTGACGTGTTGTGAGGTTGTTAACCATTGTCATAAAGCAATATGTGTATTAACTGTTTAATGAGAAACAATTTGTTCTATAAACCTTCATCTAAAGTACAATTAAAAAAAAAAAGTTCCTCTCCATTAAACCTTCTCCCTTTTTTTTTAACCTTGAAATTTTTTTTTTAGCATTTACAGAACAAACTAGCCTTCTCAAAAACAGTTAGTACACATATTGTTTTATGACATTGGTTATCAACCCCTTGACACATCAACACTCTCCCTTCTCGACCTTGAGTTCCCTATTAGCAGCTTTCCTGTCCCCTCTTGCCTTCTAGTCCTTGTCCTTGGGCTGGTGTGCCTCTTTAGTCTTGTTTTGTTTTATGGAGAGAGGAACATTTTTAAGCACCACAGGTGAATTTGATGTATAGAACTGAGAATTATTTCACAACACAATTATGTCCACAGTGTTGATTAACATGAATGCTGTTGTCTTAGTGATCTAGTGCTGCTATATCAGAAATACGACAAGTGAATGGCTTTAACAAACACAGATTTATTCTCTCACAGTCTAGGAGGCCTAGAAGTCTGAATTTCAGGGTGCCAGCTGCAGGGGAAGGCTTTCTCTCTCTGTCAACTCAAGGGGAAGGTCCTTATCTTCCCTGGTCAAAGAGCTTCTCAGCACAGGGACCCCAGGTCCAAAGGATGCATTATTCTCCTGGCTCTTGTTTCTTGGTGGTATGAGGTCTCCGTCTCTCTGCTCAATTCTCTTTTATATCTTAAAAGAGATTGATTTAAGATACAACCTAATCTTGTAGATTGAGTCCTGCCTCATTAACTAACTGCCTCTAATCGTGCCTCATTAACATCATAGAGGTAGGATTTACAACACATAGAAAAATCACATCAGATGACAAAATGGTGGACAGTCACAATACTGTGACTCATAGCCTAGCCAGTTGACACACGTTTTTGGGGAACACAATTCAATCCATAACATTCCACCATTTGGCCCCCAAAAGTTCATGTCCTTGCCACGCGTAAAACACATTCACCCGATCATATCATCCCAAAAGCCTTAATTCAAAGTCCAAAATACAAAACTTCCTCATCTGTGAAGTCTAGAATACAAGTTATCTACTTCCAAAGTACAATGGTGGAACAGACACAGGCTAGACATTTCCATTACAAATGGAAGAAATTGGAGGGAAAGAAGGCATAACACACACCAAGCAAGTCAGCAATACACATTATATTAGCCCTCAAGGCTTGAAAATAATTCTCTGTTCTCTGAAACCATTTATGGCCCTGCCCTCCAAACTCTGGGTATTGGCCACACTCTCCAGATTCTGAGTGGAGGCCCCTCAGCCCTGGGCTTCAGCTGTGCCTTCCAGGCCCACTGGGACAGCAACCCTGCGCCCGTGGCTTTAGATGCACCATTCTCCTAGTCTGTCTGAGTGGCATACTCCACCCTTTGAGACCCCGGAGGTCATGGCCCTACCCTTTGAGACTGAGGCAGCTCTGCTTCCTGTGTTCCATGTCCCTTCAGCTTCTGCTTCCTGTTTCCTTGGCCTCTAAGCCCCTTGGCCCTCGCCATCTGCGTCTGCCCTGCTGGAGCAAGTGTTCCGAAGCTCTGTGGTAGGCAAGCCTAGCTCCACCGATAAGTGCTCAGAGGCACCCCACTTCAGGAAACCTCTTACGCAAAGGCATTCAGCTCTCTTGCTCCATAGGTCAGCTCCAGCTCTGTCTAGCCCTGGTCTCCTGGTTCTGCTGCTGCCATTGCTCTGTTGCTGCCATTTCTCTGTTGCTGCCATTTCTCTGCTGCTGCCTTTTCTCTGCTGCTGCCTTTTCTCTGCTGCTGCTTTTTGCATCTGTACTGTCTCCAGTGTAACAGCTCTCCCTAATTCCTTTTGAGTCCTCACCAGAATTGTCTTTGATGTTCATACTTCCACCGACCGTTTCTTCAAGGCAATCTAGGCTTTTACTATTCAGCACTTTAAAACTCTTCCAGCCTGTATTCATTCACAGTTTCAAAACCGCTTCCACGTTTTAGATATCTGGTAAAGCAGTACCTCACTCTCTCAGTACCAAAAGTCTTAGGCTGGGCTCTCTAGAGAAGCAAAACCAGCAAAGCATATAAATATATATCGAGAGGGAGATTTATATTAAGGAAGTGGCTCACATGATCGTAGAGGCTGGAACGTCCCAAGTCCATGGGTCAGGATAGAGCCTTCTCCTGAATCACATAGCTGCGGGAGATGGTGA